GCGGTTGGCAATTCCTGCGGAGGGGATTGTCGATCGGCGATGTTTGGTCGCGTTCGGTCGGAGCGGCGGATAGCGCGAAGCGCAGATCGTTCGGCGATCTTCGGACGCGTTCGGTCGGAGCGGCGATAGCTACTGTCGACGGCGGTAATTCTAATATCGCGAAATATGAAATGTTTCTGACGGCTGGTATCTTCGGAACGATGCATTGCGGAGTGCATCGTTACAATTTTATAAGAATGGTTTGAGAATAAATGGTTTATTTTATCATTATAAATGGTAGATTATCATCTATGAAATTATTACGAGTTAATTGAAATCATTACAAATTATTAATAAAAGTTATTACAAGTAGTTATTTGTTATATATATATATATATGTAGAGTCATTACAAATCATTTATAAAAGCTATTTCAAGTAGTTATTTGTTATATATTAGGTGTACAACTTGATAATGTCGATTTGGATAACAGATGGCATAACTATCACATATTGTTTGTGCCTGTAATAACACATATGATATTTTGGAGGGTAAACATCTATTATTATAATTCAGTATTCGGTAGACGCCAAAGTGTAAACAAACATTTGTTTCAGTCGCTATAATGATGTCCAATTTTGTGCCTGAAAAAGTTGTTTTGCGGGGAAGTCTGATAACCTTCTTTAATTTGAAGAAAACGGCTGCTGAAAGTTATCGATTGTTGGTAGAAGCTTACGGTGAACATGCACCAACTCAAAAAACTTGTGAACGATGGTTTGCGCGATTCAAAAGTGGTGATTTCGGCACAGAAGATAAGGAGAGGCCTGGTCAACCAAAAAAATTTGAAGATGAAGAATTGGAAGCATTACTCGCTGAAGATTCATGTCAAACGCAAAAAGAACTCGCATTATTATTGGGAGTGACTCAACAAGCCATTTAATACAATACAAGCCATTCAATACATTTTTCAAGCTAAAAAGTCGACATTATTAAGTTGTACACCCAATATATATAGTCATTACAAATTATTAATAAAAGTTATTACAAGTAGTTATTTGTTATATATATAGAGTTATTACAAATTATTAATAAAAGTTATTACAAGTAATTACGGTTACGTAAAAAGTTATTAATATATTTATATAATTATAAACAAATAAACAAACATAAATTAAAGGCTATAAAGAGTCAAACGCAGTTAACTATGCGAAAAAATGAAGGGAATCTCTTCCAGGGATTCCCAAATTTCTCCGAAGAGCTTTTTCTCCTCGGTAGTGATAGGGGAGTAGGATATTGGGATTGGGGAAGGAAGAAGAGATTGTGATGTTGGGGTGGTGAAAAGGAAACGGGAGATTGTGATACTACAGGAGGAGTGTCGTCCCCGGTCAGATCTATGACTGGGATAGGCTCTGTGGATGTCGATCTCTCTTTTTCCTTTTTTATTTTGCGAATCTTGTAAAGTTCCTGACAAGCTGCCTCGTCTAACGGGGTCCCCGTTTGGACCTTTTTACTGACCGGAATCCCCAACCGGCGGAGGGTTTCTAGTTTTTCTTTTTTGCGTCGCGTCGGCCTGCTCGATGTTTTCGTTTGACCATCTACCAAAAATAGGGATTGTAGAGTGCGCCCAACCGCTATCAGCTATCGTAAGGTAGAGGAAGAAGGGTAAGGTAGTTGGACGGATGATTCGCTCGAAATGATTTATCGTGGTAGCAATTGCAGAAAAGACAGAATGAATTATTCGTAGCAAGTCACTGCTTCGAGTAATTATTAAAGAAAGATACTCGTGGCGACTTACCGCCCTGAATCGTACGAAGAAATAAAAATTACTCTTAGCGAGTTACCGCTTCGAGTAAAGAAAGGTACTCGTGGCGACTTAGCGCCCTGAGTAATAAGAGGAAATAAAAGAATTGCTCTTAGCGAGTTACCGCTTCGAGTAAAGAAAAGTACTCGTGGCGACTTAGCGCCCTGAGTAATAAGAAGAAATAAAAGAATTACTTTTAGCGAGTTACCGCTTCGAGTAAAGAAAAGTACTCGTGGCGACTTAGCGCTCTGAGTAATAAGAAGAAAAATAAAAGAATTACTCTTAGCGAGTTACCGCTTCGAGTAAAGAAAAGAAGTACTCGTGGCGAGTTAGCGCCTTGAATACTACGAAGAAATAGAATAAAAGAATTATTCGCAGCGATCTACCGCTTCGAGGAGTAGTAAGGAGAAAAGGGGTGAACCGATGGAGATAATGTGGTAGTATCGTGATCAAACTTATATTAAATTAAAAAAGAGACACTTACTTTAATTGGAGTGAAAGAGAGAGATCTTCAATTTACGGAATGTCCTTGAGGCTGTCCTGGTTGGTGGTTCTCACTTGAACACTCCGCGTACTCGTATTAGAAATTCTTATTCTCAAGTTTAAGGTCGACTGTTCGGATGTATGGTGTCTAATGTGTAAAGCTAAAAGATGCCGTGCTCTTTTTGTGCTGGTTTTTATAGGGATTGGTTTAGAGAGAGGTATTTTGATGATGTGTCGAATTTCTTATTGATAATTAAGATGACGATTCACGATCGTTGAATCATCTCTTATCTCTAGACTATTGTTTTTTTGGAAGTAAGGTCAATGCCTTACTTCCTAACTTAGAACAAATATGTTATGATGAGACTTATCTCATCACAACATACCTGCTTTATTTAGACATCTCACCCTTCGAGTATCGTCTGTCTCGCGAGCTTGTTATCTAAGCGTCTCGCCGCTATTAAGTAAAAAATATTTACTAATTACATGATTCACGACTCTCGAAAGGGAAATGTCATTTGTTTTTCTATTTTTGGAAAAACAAATCTGGTCTTACCCATGGTTTATCAATTTTTCTGTTGACCTTTTGTGTCGCGCTTAAATTAAATTCTTCTCTAATGAAAAATATGTATTACTTAATTGTTAGGATTGTTGATTATTTACTCGGACAATGGAATGGTGCAGTCCACCGGACGTAACAGATGAATAAAATTATTTTCTTATTTGTCAACTGAATAAACATATTTATTTGATTATTGTTACATGTGAAAGTACAATGTTTATTCGTAAAGCGTTTTAATTTTGTCCGAAAATCAGTGCGATCAGTTCGCAATCGATTATGTCGTTGCGATTGAAAGATTCGTTTTCGTACATGGTTCTTGGTAATTTCGTAGAATCGTTCACATTGGTCGCGATATTGAGAAGATGCGAGAATTTTTTGTCGATGGTATCAGTTACAGCGTTGAACGAGGAAATAAGACGATTGACGCAATATTCGAGATTGAACAAATTGAGAACGGTGCTTTTGGATAAGGTCACTTTAGACGACGATGAATCCAGACGTAACATCGGTATACTGTTAATTCGACCGAAACGCAACGTCACGTCTCCGATTTATATCGGCGGTGGCGTGCGTTTACCTTTGGTTCCTTCGTATTGCAAAAGCGGTAATGTGACGTTTTTTTTTTCAACGAGCACGCTCCATACGGTCGGTGAGAGGGACATCTCCTTGCCGTGACAGTCTCCAAGAACGATAGTCACCACGGAGGGCAATTTTACGTCGATACCGACGGTCAGATACTTGTATCCTGTAACAGTCAAAGGATATCTTCTTTCCAAGATGCGTACTACTTTGGTTCTGCAACGAAAGAAAAAAATAATTAGATAAGAAAAAATGTAATAAAAATAATACCTACGTGTCTGTTCTGTTTTCCATATCGTCATATCGTCTTTTTCGATTGTTCGTTTCGTTGAATTTTTTCTCCTTTTTTCCATTGGTACGCTCGATGAGATGTCGAGTGTCGTCGTCGGTGTCGTTTGAAATCGCGTACATGTCTCTCTCACGATGTTATTCGAACGATTCGTTCTTTCACACTGATCTTCTGCGTACCTATCTAAGTGATATATATATTTTTTTTACATAAAACGTCGTGTTAATCGTCCTCTGTATCCAACGCGGTGCTTGTGAGTGAATTACTTGATTGGAGCAGTCGAGTAAGAAGATCCTGCAATTGCTTGAGTAATCCGTCTGTGGGACAATTAACGTTGAGTATTTTCATGTCGAATTTATCAGCATTCGTTACCGTTCTGGTGAATTCGTTAAATTTGTAATATTGACGTTTGTGTAGGAAATAAAGAGAACCGTCGATATATCGGAAGGCTAGAGTAGGAGATGGCGGTATTCCTGGAAATATCGACTGTAACGTGTGATATCCGTTAACGGTCATATCGCATTCGTTCAGTAAAGCTACGCTATCGTCATTGTAGATCACGTACGTTTGTCCTCTATTGGTGACCAATGCTGCGTTAACGTGCATGTTCGTGGGTAACTTTAAGTCGAATGATCGTTTCGGCTAACCGTCCTTCAATCGTAAACTCGAATATTCTATCATGTAAATTTGATTATCCGCGAAAACTACAATTTCTCCAGATGGTCGTTGATACGCAGCGTTTATGGAAACATTCGCCGGAAGAAAACGTAGGTAATCGTTGAGCGCAATTGGTCCTTTGTACCTCTTACCGTTGACGTCTATCATCCACATGATTTTTCGATAGGTAACGAATATGCGATGATTCAACACCAGTACATTGTCTACGTACGATAGATCGCACAGATCTCTTTTGTTTGATGTTGTTTTCGTTGTGTCAGTTGTTACCGGTGGTGATCGTGTACTCGGCACTACATTACGATATTTTTTCCGTATAGACGTTGAATAGCTAAATTCCTCTAGGCTGAGTTTAACGGTATTATTGGTGGCGTAAGAAAACATTATGGAATCTACATGTGAATTGTGCGACATTCCCAATGAATGTCCGATCTCGTGCATTAACGTGTAAAGCAAATGCTCTTTGTTGTCTGGTACATTTTCGTTTTAAATATATATACCAATGTTCCGATCCGTCTATGTGTATCTCTGTGGTTTGCACGGGATCGTTCGTAGGTGCAAACGCGTGTGCGAGCACTCCACCAGGTCCGTCGAACAAACCGGAACAGATCTCTCTGCATCTGCTATCGACGTATGTATGAAATCCTTCGCGGTACGATATTAAAATGTCTGGATTTAACGTTTGGCGTTCGAATGTTAGAGATGTGTTCGCTGCCCATACGAAGAATGCGTGTGCCGTAGTTTTCAATGTATCTGCGTCTGCCAAGTGGAAGTACCACGTAAGATGCGTTTTTCTTCATTTCACTACAACACTATTTTGTTCCTGGTGTGACATATCCGGTAACCCGCATCGCGGTTGTCGTATTTGACGTATCGTATTATCGTTCAACGCACCGTTACCTGGTATTTGATAGTATTCTTGGAATAATGCGATAGCCTGTTTAATTTTTTCATCTTCGATCGACGTGTGAGTGGTTACGTCCACCTCGTTCAGGTAACCATATTTCTGCAGATATTCTATCACCTCGGTGTTTACTAAATTTTGTATCGTCGGCGTCGACGCGGATATCGTTACGGAAAGGAAAGCGACGAGGAAAGCGAGAGACATCGCGGCGTACGTGTACAGCGGAAACGTACGGTTCGACTATTAATCGCATACTGCGAGTGTGGAAAGAGGAGTGGTATGTTTTGTATAAAAATAAACAAATGAAAACGAGGAGATAAGAGTGTCAATGAAAATGGTGCATTTTTTAAAAATATAGTTTATTTGTGTAAAGCAAACAAAAAAACTTACATTAGCACATGGAATCGTCTAAATTGAGTTGAGAAAAACATAATCACGTGTATCGTTATATAATTTTACGAACGACATTTGTCAATGGATTGTACTCTATTACTCTGTCATGAATAATTAGACAATAGACCGTGGTGCCCGATGGAATATTTTCCCTACATTCGAATTCGATACGAATGTCCACGGTAGCGATTTTCACAGATTCGTTTTGACGAAAGCAATCGATCACCACGAGCGGCGTGGATGAAACAAATTGTCCGACGGACAGCAAAGCTTCGTATGTTTCGTAGCTGTAGTACGATTTCGCAAATTTTGCATACATGTCGTATAGTATTGCGATTTTATTACGTTCGAAATCCAAATTCATATCATCGTACGGGAAACAATCAGAGTTCAAAAATAGTTTTACGTTTACTAGCGCACACGCGTCGAAATGAGTGGTATCCTTAGAGAGTACGTTTCGTTTTCCAGTTTGAAGCGAAAATATCACGTAACGGGGTTTTTCCAAATGCGACGTTGTCTTCACAGCCCACGAATGTTTGGTCGTGCTCCGAAGTAGAGGAAACTCGTACAAATCCCAAAATCGAAATCCCATGCTGAGATACCGTCCATTTTCCAACGTTCGCAGAAGTGACAATTTGTTGACGTCGTTCAGTACCACGTGTGGCATCTTCCATTGCACTACCGATAACGTGAGTGTATAGTCGTCTGCGTTGCTCGCGATAACGCAATTGTTGTCGTTAGGCGCATGTATCAGGACTAGTTCATGTCGGGCGTTTATCACTATACGTTTGTAATCCTCGCAAAATCCCAGAAGTATTTTAAGCGGTACGCTAAAGTTAAAATCTTCAGTTATCGATCGACTTGTTAATAATGCGTCTAGACCTAATGTAAGCTTCCATCCGGCATTCTCCAACGTTCTGCTTCTGTCAACTGTCAACGAAACGTAATTTTTAACTGTGCTTGTAATACCAACGTTTCTGTTTCTGTCAATTTCCACTCCGTCTAATTCGTAGCGAATCTCGTCGAACATGAATGCGACGCAATTATTCGACAGTCTCGGTGGTTCGTTGGTACTTCCTTCCTTCCTTCGCACAATGAATTTTCCCTCGATGTAGAGCAAACTTTCGCACGGTAACGTGTAGAGATCCTGATGTTGAATCGGTATCCGTATTTCATCGCTGTATCCGAATGTAGTATTAGCGTACGGGTTGTAAGTGTGAGTCTCTATTTTAACGATGCGATCGTCGAAGATCGGAGCACCTCCGATCTTCAGGATATCACGATTCACTTCTCAAGACGAATCCGAGAGATCGTAGAAAAGCGACGTTCGTGGCATTCAATCGACCTCTTTTTTTTCGTCTTTTCGTTCGATCGTATAGATTTTTTAACGGTTGCCACAATGTCGACGTTTGCGATGCGTTCACTCCGTCGTACGAATCGTTCAAGACGAGCATCTTCCGCCTTCGAACATAGTATCCCCTAGCGTCTACGTCGTATGTGAAGTCGAATCGATATCTCTTCGCCGCGAAAGTCGATCAACTGTCCGTTCTGATCCACTACACGTATCGTTATATCGGTAATGTTTCGTGCGATGACCGGGAGATAAATGACGTACGTTGGAGTAACGGATAGTTTATATCCTGGAGGAACGTTCACCGCAGTAGAAAGGCTAGGTATATACCAAACCGTTTAGAAATGACCACGGCTGGTATAGCCAATGGCGTTGCTCCGTTTTGATTGTGTGCGTGCGCGTTTGCGTGTGTGCGTGGCTGGGACAGCCAATGGCGTTGCTCGTTTTTGTTTGTGTGCGTGCGAGTTTGCGTGTGTGCGTGTGTAGGTAAAAAATGCGTGTGA